TTCTTGGAACATATCTGTATGATCTCACAGCCTATCCGTCCACCAATTGCTGAGGAAGATATGTGCATGATCCAAAGACACCAATTGGCCAAAGTCTGACTGATGCTTGTGGTATTGCTCTGACGTAAATTTAATCCCTACTTCCCCACCAAGAAAAACAGAAAAGCCTGAATACATCTTGCTAAATTACACCACCACTTCCCGTTGCTTTCTGCAGAAGTTGCACGTAAGATACTCCCTCAAAAAGAAAACAGCATATTCCAACTGAATACGTTTAGATAAACAGAGAGAAGGACTCAAGCACAAGCCTTGCTGCCTGCTTAGACAAGAAACTCCTCTCAGTTCTATGCTGATTTTGTCTAGCTTGATTTTCAGTGTTCTCAGCACCCCAGGAATCCACGCTATGATACCCAAATCAAGTCCTGTCACACTACCCTGAGATCAGGGCCAAAAATTGTGGTTATGCACATACTACAATTTGCCTCCAAAACAGACTAATAAAATTCTGTACTGTGTCTATTTTAGGTTTTTTCTAAGGTGCCTATCACTGTGGAATCTAAATGCCATATAACAACTGTAGATAACACTGTCTGCCTTAAAAGGCAGACTACTCAGCCTCCCTTGTTCATTGTGTGTCTGTGAGGAAACTTTCCTTCTGCTTCCCTTCTTGCCTTTCACTTCCTCACCTCCAGCTGTGAGTTGGTCCTGGCAAAGTGCCCTTACTGGAAGAACACTTCATCAACATGGTGGGTAGCACATGTAGAGCTGAATATGGTCAGGGTTGGAATCAATTCAGCTCGCTGCTAAGATTTTCTCCAGCAGGGGACAAGACACCAAAAATGTTGGCAATGTTGTATTCTGGGGCCAATCAGTTTGATATGTTGTAATTACCATAAAAATATACAGTAATTACATTATATAGTTATTATATAGTTATTATTTGTTGACCTAAAGATACACACAGTAAGGAAGGCCTATATGGAGACACACACAAACCACACATGGAAATTAAATCTCTAATGACCAGTTTCAATGGAAAATGCCTACAAGAACCTAGAAAAAAAAAGGAGGTGCTTTAGCTCCAGGCAATGCTGTCTAGGAGGAAACAAAGACAACACTATTAGATTTTGAGGACTGCAGCTGGACAAAACACCTCAACAGGTTTTGCCTGTCATCCTTATCAACAGAACATAAAACCTGAAAACTGAAAAGCATCATAAAGGAGAAAAGCTAGGCTTCTGATAGCATCCTAGAATAAAAATTAGCTTATAATGAATTACAAACACCAGCCTAGTACCCTCATTTTGAGTAGCCTTTTTGGTTTTGAAAAGCAGGTCTTTACCTGCAGCCACAGCTGACTCACGAGGAGGAAGAGCAGGATGGAGAGCTAGAGGCAGCTCTGCTTTTCTGGGTTGCCTGCCAGGAAAGAGATAAGGCCAGGTAGCTCCCAAAGGATCCTAGGACAATGAAGAGAACTGAAACATCTGACTGGCATAACCACAATGCTGCATCCTAAGTAGCTCCCAGCTGTGCTGTACAATTTCTGACGTGTATTCATTCCATTTTGAATACTGTTGGCTTATATATGTGTCAGTTACTCTAATCTCATACTTACATAAAAATTTAAAAGCAGCACTTTAATGAGAAAAGAATTCTGATTTTTTTTTATTTTTGATCTTGTTATCAATTTATATTTTCACCAAAGGAAATTAAAATTATGTCTGACACTGTTGGACACATCACTAGCATGCCCCTACCTCATTCACCTGCCTCAATTTTCACGTGATAGAAAAAATTTTTACAAATGGCCTACTCCATTGAGAAAAGTGTAGGAAACCACTGAAATCGTAGTAAAACATTATCTTTCAGATTCTTGTACTTGCGAATCTTTACATCTATCCATAAGACTATAACAAGGACAAAAGACCAGATACAGCCCATCTAGTTTCATCAGACAATTGCCTTCATCTAAAATAGGGAGTAGTTTTACCAGCAAAGACCACTCAGTCCATCATGACCTGCATGACTGGACTGCATTGACCATGGAGACTTCAGATCTTCTCTCCATAGCAAGGCTAGAGGAGGCTATAACCTCTCACATTGTGTCAAGCAGTTCTGGGCCTGACTCTTACCTCAGTGATGTCTAACTAAGTATTACTTAGTAATAATTACTGTATTAACAAATAATTAACACTAAATGTTACCTGTTTGTACAAGGAGTCTGTTTTAAGATTAGACTAACAGAAGATAGGAAGCAGTAAAGAGCACAAGGGCCATCAATTTGATAACAAGCAGAGACAGTGAAAAAGATCCCTGATTTTTTTCCAGCATACTACCTGTGACCACCTATGGAAATCACCATACCAAAAAGGAAGGGATAGACCGTGAACCTGCAAATAATTACAAAAAGGGAAAAAAAGCAGGGAACCACAATTTCTGCAGAGAATAATAGCGGTGTCCTTTACAAAGCAGGGGATAACAACAGGTCTTTGCTAAGGAATAGCAAGCTTTTAGTTGATGGATGCTTCTGTGCAGGCTGTCAACAACTGAGAACAAAAAACCTTTCTTATCATGCTGTGTTCCCCCTCTTTCTACTCATCTACTCAGGGTGCCCATATGGGCCTTCTAGTCAACATGAAACACCAAGTCCTAAAAGAAAGAGCCATAAACACCAAACCTACTTGTACCTGATAAGGATTAGCATGACACACCAAGGATGCCTGGGAATAGTGCATTGATCCACAGCAGAAGAGTTAAGATATTAGTCTTCATACTTTAGAGGAATGATTTCAGACCTAGCAAGGACCTGAAATACAGCAAGATTTGCTGTTGTGATCAGTGGAATCATGTGAATCATTTAGGCTGAAGTGAATAGTTACTTGGGTGTAAGCAAGGTTAGACTAGTGATCTCAGATTCTGCAATAGCATATATAAAAGCTGAACATGCCTTTCTGCCCCTCTCCACACCAGTCTGGTATTGTTACACACATTTGTCTAAAATAGACAAAATACTAACTATAATAAAACATTTCACTGTTATTATAAAACTCAACTGCATTCACAAGGGATATTTTTTGCACTTCAGCTTCTTCATCCTAATGGGACAGGTACCATTTTTACTCCACAAAGCATGTTCGACAGCTTGCAAGACCAGACACTTTCTACATTGCAACTGTGTAGTACTACACCTAAATAGAGAGTTTCTTCAATTTTTCTATTGTTCTGTCTCAACACAGATGTTGCTTCCTTCAAAAGGTCATCTTCAGTTGGAGCCTAAAAGGCTGAGTTAGAAGCACACTTTAAACTTATGGGAAACATCTGAAAATAAAACATTACAGTATAATCAGTCATTCACTTTGTTTTGGATCCTCCACTCCTGAAAAGACTGCAGTTAAAAACTACAGTGAAAAGAAAGTTAAAACTGCCAGCCTGTCTATAGAAAGTCATGGGGAGATCCCCTGCTAGTGCTGGCCAAGTTGGTAGGCCCGACAGCATCATGCAGTGGCATACAGAGACACCGGCTGGCATCCTGGAAAGCAGCATTCCTGTGTTTGCATGGTGTGGTGGGCTGATCTTGGCTGGAGGTCAGGTGCCCACCAAAGATGCTCTGTCACTGCCCTCCTCAGCTGGGCAGGGGAGAGAAAATATGATAAAAGGGTCCCAGCTTGAGATAAGGACAGGGAGAGATCATTCAGCAATTATCATCACAGGCAAAGCAGACTCAGCTGGAGGGGGGAGAAATTAGCTTAACATCAGTCAAAATCAGAGTAAAAAGAGAACCAAAACCCCAATCTTAAAACATCTTTCACCTACCTCTCTCTTCTTCCTGGGCTCAAATTCACTCCCACTTTTCTCCACCTCTTCCCTCTGAGCAGTGTAGGGGGACAGGGAATGGGGGTTGTGGTCAATTCATCACACATCGTCTCTACCTCTCAGGCAGAAGACTCCTCACACTATTCTCCTGCTCCAGTGTGGAGTTCCTCTCATGGGAGACATTCCTCCATGAACTTCTCCAACATAAGTCCTTCCTACAGTCTGTGTTTCTTCCTTAACTGCTCCAGCGTGGGTCCCTCCTGTGGGGTGCAGTCCTTCAGGAGGAGCCTGCTCCAGCCTGGGTCCCCCTGGGGTCACAAGTCTTGCCAGCAAACCTGCTCTGGAGTGGGCTCCTCTCTCCACAGATCCACAGGTCTTGCCAGAAGCCTGCTCCAGCATGGGTTTCCCACAGGGTCACAGCCTCCTTTGGGCATCACAGGCTCTTCAGGCGCAGCTGCCTGCCCCGGTGTGGGGCCCTGCCCGGGCTGCAGGGGGGTCCCTGCTCCCCTGTGACCCTCCATGTTTGCAGGGGCACAGCCAGCCTCACCATGGTCTCCACAACAGGCTGCCGGGGAATCTCTGCTCTGGTGCCAGGACCACCTCTTCCCCCCTCTTTCTCCACTGACCTGGGGATCTACAGAGTTGTTGCTCTCACATTTTGCTCTCTCTTTCTACTGCAAATGTCCTCTACCATTTTTTTTTCCCCTCCTTAAACACGTTATCCCAGACACGTTATGGCTGTTATTGGCGCGGCCTTGGCCAGCAGCAGGTCCATCTTAGAGCTGTCTGGCATTGGCTCTATCAGACACAGGGGAAGCTTCCAGGAGCTTGTCACAGAATCCACCCCTGTAGCCCACCTGCTACCAAAACCCTGCCACCCAAACCCAATACACATGGTGTCATCTCAGCTAACATCCCTGCTTCTGGTGGTTCCAGGCCCAGAACTAAATCCATCGCAGACAGCTTGTGCTGCACTAAGCTGACATAACCCAAAGCAGTTTTCACATTGCAATAAATGGAAAGGCAAGCAAAGGGAAAAAAGTTATTTCTTTCTCTTTTTATGGTATCTTTATTTAAAGAAAGGCATCATTAGTAGCACAGCTAGGGAAATTTAGTTCCTGCAAATGCAAATGAAATGTTTGATTGATGATTCAAGTGGTTTGATTGTCAGTAAACACTTCCCTTACCTTCATATGTGATTTGAGATTGTCCTTGCGTGCACAGCGAAATGGACAGAGTGGACACTGATGACTTTTCAAACCTGTATGAATCACCATGTGCCGTTTCCAGTAACTCTTCCTCTTGATAACCAAACCACAGATCGGACACTGGAAAGGTTTTCCTCCTTCTTCTTCTGAGGCTTAGCAGAAGGGGGAAGAAAAAGAAAAGATACTTTACAGCCACTTGTTGAATACTTTTCCCTTGTAAACATACTCAAGCTATTTCTCAGTGCTAGAATTTCATCTGCAAAGAGACACATCAATTCAACAACAACACGTACCAGAAATTTCAGTTCCTCCTCCCTGCACAACCCTTTTCCCCTTAATCTAGTTATTCTCCCTTTAAGAAAGGTCACCATAATTTATAAAAGGTTAATGTTCCAAACATCCTTTGGCTAATCAGTAGGGGATGCTACTCTATCTCACCTGGTCCTAATGTTCCTTATTATTTAACTGAACTGAGATGGATGTCTCTCATAATCATCACTTTGCAGCTTCATTTCCTATCAAAGGCCGGTTGTAGCAAGGTATGGAAAATATGCTTAACTGTTAAAAAATTATCTATTTCCATATCTGATGGTTGGCCAGCAGGGGAGTGGGACATAAAGCATAGAACAATCTGTGACTTAACTGAAAAGCATGCTGGTATTGCATCTCAGATACATGTAACGCCAGAAGTGAATGACTTCAGAACCCCTGCTGTTGCACTTGTTTAGTTATGACTCGAGCAGTTGCTGCTGCAACTTCAGCCATTGGGGATCTTTGGGTCATGGATTTCCTTCTGCACCTCTAGTTGCCAGGGCTTTAAATCTATTGCCTTCCTAAATGTTTGCACTCTGCTTTACTGCCCAATTCACCTAAAATAAGGATTTGGTAGCATGTATCGGGCAAATAGTGTACTGAGTGTGGGACCATCTCAAAGTTGAAGGAAAGAGAAATTTCTGCTGCTGACTTTACACAACTAACCATCCGTTCATCCTCTCACCACGATTTCCTCTGCTTATTATAAAAGACAGGCCTAGTATTACTGTGAAATTGGAAACTTTTTTTCCTCACTGTAAAAGGTTGACTACTTGCAAATATCCAGAGCTCAGCAATGTGTTTCCTGATATTTGGAATTTCACTCAGAATATTTAATCTCATTGTTATCAGTTACTTCCTACTGATAAGGATAGAGCAAACATCAAATTCCCTTGATGAGGAACTAAGCAATAAAAACCTTCAGAAAGATTTGTCATATCCTAAAATATAATTCTTGCTATTAAGTAGGAAACAAAACCACCGTAATTCAACTGATGAGGTAGTCATTATGTAAGCACAAAAAAAGGACACATTGTCAAAGCATGCGCTTCTGCAAGCTCAGAAATTCTCTGTATAAAATATTCTATCACGCTCATCATATTACCAAATTGATCCCCTCTCTACACCTCTAAAGAGTAGCTCTAAGCCAAAGCCAATCCTATAATTGCTTATGTTTCAGTTTTTAAATATCTTTACTTACTTCTTCACAAGAGGCAGGAGAAAGACAAACCACCGGAAAAAAAACCCAAACAAATATATTGGTACCATTTTAACCTATTATTTCTCTTCCTCTATTGTACCTTTTTTCCAGCCTCTGGTTATCATCACAAAGTATCCAGAAAAGAGATGTGTAACAAGCTATTACCTGTTTTCTACCCCATTAAAAATAAACCTGAAAACAAGATGGATCAATACTAATTTAACCATTACAAAATACACAAAGAACTGGACTGAATGTATGTGACTTCACCAATAACAATGACAACTAATGGCACACAGGAATTTTGTCAATGCTCTCCAAAGCTGAACTATGTTAGCTCCTTACTATACTACATAAACATCGGCATAAGAAAAAAATTCTGGGCTTCAGCTTTCCTTCATTTATACTGATGTTTTATGTCACACAGTGTCAATTACTTGGAAAGACTGACTCCAGTGAGCACACAATCAGCCAGTGCTTCCCAAAGCAGCTTCAGGAACAAACGTGCAAGTATTGCAGGCAAAAAGTTACACCAAACAAGCATTCAGTCACTATAAGGGTCTGTCACCCACACTCTTCAAAAACGACATCAGAACTTTAACAGAGATTCCAGGCTTCCTTTTAAATTTCATCCCAAACACGAGCTTTATATAAAATTAGCAATATTAAAAGATTGATAGAAAAGTTAATCTTCTCTGTACCACTTTACTATAACCTGTGCAAGTAATGATTAGGTCCGCCAAACCTGGCATGCAGTTTCAGAGGTGACCATGCTCTGATAAGCCATGGCTCCAGCTTCTTGCCTATAATAAACGTGAGCAAATAGCTCAACACAATGAACAAAAGAGCAGCAGGCATACTCTTGTTATTAACATATTCCTCTTTAAACAGCCTCCATCTTTGCTGTTCCTTACTTGTCGACATCTAATTAATCTCACTGAGTATTGAACCAAAACTAGATGTTGCTGGTGGGTAAGTGAATCAGTTTGTAACAAGGCAGCAAACTCACCAGTGCCTTAAACATTCCAAGTATGAGAGCGGGGGAAAAAACCCACCTCTCAAGCTATGTCTACTGGGAAAAGATGTCTCCCTGTCTCTGGGAACAAGACAAAAAAAACCAAAAACAAAACCCATGCCTGAAGGAGCAATCAAACAGAGACAAAAAGACAAAACATTATAAAATTAAATACTATTTTTAGCTTTTAGTGCCATAAGGTTGTAGGTGCAAAAGGAATCAGGAGCATGTGAAATTTATTTTCATGGCAAATATACACCCTCAGCTACCCTCTTCAACTTTTACAGAAGTGTAATCTTTAATCAAAGGTCACTAAACAGTGACCTTTTTTGCAAGCTACATGGACTGAAGGAATCAAGGAGCTTGGCTGTCCATAACTGACATCCAAATATGCTAACCAACAGCTAGCTTTTTATTTTCAGTTGGTTAATTAGTTCGAAAGGAAAAAATAGCCTATCACAAAACATAGAACTTTTGTTATGAACTATAAAGTTTGCTTGGATGCCAACTGGCGTTGGCGCAGTGTGTATGAACTGAAAGGAAACACCCTTCCTCTTGGGATACTAGTCCTATATATTGTAAAAATTGAATGGTTGTTCCTTGGTTACCAAGGACCTGAGGCAGTCAGCTCCCACTGTTACCTTTTAGCAGCACAGAATGTCTGGGCCTTCAGCAAAGAGAACAGTTGCTAGGAACTTGCTGCATCAGAGTTAGTTTATGAAATGCTGGTACTACCAGCACTTCTGCATGCTGGTACAGAGCAATCTCCTAGTATAAGCGGCACAGACAAATCACACAGTTTGCTGGTGAAAAACAGAACTTGGGTTTTACTACAACCATTTACTTTTTCCAAGTGAAAACTTATGATGTGAACAGCTTTTTCTCCAGCAGGGAATAAAATAGTAATTTCAAATACATTTTAACCTTCCTCCTTTTCTGTGCATTGCTGCCTTTTTATATGGTGACCAGTCTTCATGGGGAAAGTTACATTAGATTAATGCCCTCAGTCACACTGGTGTAGCCAATATGGGTACTCTTATTCCTGCACGAAAGGACCCTTTTTTGGTTTAGCTTATGTTACTCTAAAAAGGACTTCATCAAAACTAATGAAAACCTTAGGCCATACCCATGCCAAGAATAGTTTGCCACTTTAATTGCTCTGGCAAAACACATCAGCAAAGCATTTGTAGAACACTTGTAACTCAGAGCAAAGAAAACTGGTACCAGCTGCACCTCATCTCATTCCTCCCCCTCCTTTTCCAAGGGAGGAATGAGCATTGCTGTCTATTCAATAGCTTCTACACTAAGACTTTTTACCAAGAGCCACATAGGGACAGATAGGACCTCCTCATAATATCCCTAAACAAAAAGGGTAGGTCAGAAAGATGGCAGTGCAATTACACAACATCCACATCAGGCTTCATGTCTGTTCAGTGGCTTGCTACACCTGCACAGTCAAGCCAGTATTCCTGATAAAGCTCTAATATGCTGCACCACATCGTGCATCTTGTGAAGACAGCTGCCACGCTTCCTTCCCCTCTGCAGCAGAATGCCACTGCAGGAAGAACACTGACGACACCTGAAGCTGTATGTACCAGAAATATGAAACCATGATGTGAACTTTTTATAGAAATAGATGAAAGAAACCTTATTTTGAAGACAGATAATTTAAATTTCCCTGCATGGCTTGCCAGTTCTTCAAGGCTTTTGTTACCAAGACTACTACTTCTTATTCCCTATAAGCCTGATTCCTTGACTGCTGACAGCTGGAACTGGTGGAGGGAAGTCAAAAGTGTAAAATGGTTCTTGTTGAGCAAATTAGAGAAATGCAGTTCACTTTTTTTTTTTTTAAAGTGACAAAGGATTGTAAAATACTGAATGGCTGCAAAAAATTTTAATGAAAAGTGGCAACATAATAATATGCTCTGGTAAATTAGGACAGGGTAGTAAGCGATTATACAAAAGTCCATTTGTGACAGAGACAGCAGGAGGGAGAATTCTCCCTTGTCCAATATTTCAAAAGCACTAGTTTTGTACATGCTCACTGATACCGTGAGCTTCCTAACAGGGATTCTTTGATCTTCTCCATTAAATACTTTTTGTGGACTTATTCTGAACTTGGTAAAAGGGGAGAATACCATTGTATAGACTAAAATAAAATAAAAGTACAGAGCTGTACACTCACATCTTTCAAACATGGAAACATTTGTGACAGTTTGATCTTCAAGTGGTATTTTAAAAAGCTTTTCTATTGTTTACCTAAGGTACCTATTTCTTATTCTCATAATACATGGAATCAAACCAAATCCAGACCCACTGAGAAGTTACATAAATTTAGAGCAAAACAAATACATTCTACTTAGTGGCTCAAACTATATCCATACCTGTACTAGTGGATTTGGATGCTCTTCCCTTAGGGACTGGCAATAACAATAATTCCAAAGACTGTGGTGGAGTTGCTTTCTCTTGCTTCATCTCTGAAAGCTGCAGGGGATCCTCAGCAATGAGTGATTTCTTCTTCTCAGCCAACAGGGTGCCTGCAGCCCTTGCAGCAACCTCCTTGAGCAGAGCAGCTGAAGAGGTCATGGAAGCCAGAGAAAGGAAAGAACTAGCCGGAGGCGGGTGCTCCTGCCCAGGAGTCATGCTTCTTTCACTCACTTTCTTAGATAAAGCTGCTAACGTGGAGCTGGCTGACTGAGAGCTAAAAGGTGAGGAAAAGGATTCGAATCTTATAGTGTCTTCAGTCCTTGAAAGAGATTTGTCCTGCAGAACAGCATTGGCTGCAGCTTTCAGTTTCAGGATAGCTGAATCAGGGGACAAACCACAGGTGGTGGTTGAGTTTGGCAACCACTTACCTTGATTCCATAAAAAGTGACTACTTGCATTGTATTGGTCACTTTGTTCCTGTTTCTCAGCAAGCTTTCTGGCAAGAACACTTAGCTGCTGAGCATGATGTGCAGGTGGAGAGAAGGAGACATTAGAGCCAAGATTTACAGGGGACTCGACTCTGCCATTGACTGTAACAGCAGCATCCAGCTTGAGGGAGCCAGCCTCCAGTAGCCGCCTCAGGTTACTACTCAGTGGCTTATTTGGACCAGGAGGTTCTTCTTCACACAGAGACGACACATCAGGAGAAAGGTGCTCTTTATTCTGTAATGTGTCTCTTAGTGCCTCATTTTCAATGGATACCAGCTCTGCTGCATTGCTGCTAGGAGTTGCACTTCCCAAAGAAGTGTCTGGGGAAGTGGACTGCTCTTGGATTCTGTCCTCAAGAGACAACTTAAAGTTCTCCTGCACTTCTCCATATGATGCTTCTGAAGGAGTTTCTGAAGAATTTCCAAACCAGCGTTCTTCTTCACTGAGTTCACCTTCCACTTCTTCCTGCCTGGTACCATCTGTGTGAAACCAAGAACAACAGTATTATTCCCAAATCTGTGTAAAATAACTTCTTAGCATGATGTATGCCTGACCTTTGCATGATCCTCCTCAACAGTCACCTAACACCCCCCTAAAGTGCACGGACTTGGCATCAGCCTGGATTGAGTAACCAAGAAGTTTTTTGAAAATTCATGTCTTTCTTTGAAGACAAAATAGTGACAAGCCTGTCATATTTCTGTCTGCATAACTAAAACAATTAAACTGCAACAATACAAATATGCATAACAGATATTCATATATTGCAAGTATTTCATTATTAGTCTATACCTCTTGCAAAATATTATTAGTTCTGTGGTATAAAGCAGGGATTTAACAGGCCCAGAAATTACTGGATACTTGTCTTTGTAGAGCTAGCACAGGCACACCATCAAAAGCAGATCAGGTGTGTAGCTACTCAAAGTAGTTTCTTCCAGTGACTTTAAATGTCAGCACAATCCTGCAGTGACCTCTATCTAAAATAAAATAAAGTTTGTACTGATAATACACAATTCATTCCTGAAGAGCTGAAATGACTAATACATGAATGCAGGCTAAAGCTCTCATCTCTTCAACTGTTTGGGAAAGAAATGAATATCATACACAAAAACAGAATCTTTGGGTTTTATTCTCTTCTTATATAGACACTACTTGCTTGTCATTCTTCACTAATGTTAAAGTTTTAAAGACCAGCCTAAACTAAACTTAGTTTGGCTGGAAAAACCAAAACAAGCATCACAGGTCTCAATGCAGTTAGTTACATTTTCTTCTCTACTGTAACTGCAACACATCTAGTCCCTCCTGAGACTTAACCGACAGTGTTTAAAGCACTGTGAACCTGGATTGCTCTCCTTCCCGGTAGGTATTCAAAGTCATACAGACATGACCAATACTTCTTTGGCAGATCTTGCTGGCCAATCAGAACGTAGTTAAGAACAACAGCAATGCTAGAATTAAATTTGTTATCTGCTCTTGCCAGATAACTCTCGCATTTCTTGCTTTTAGACTTAACGTCCCAAGCTACAGAAGAATCTTTGTAATCATACTACAGCAAAACAAAAGGATTTAATATAACCCTCCACTGACATTCTGGAAATAAGCCTGCATGATATGTACTGTATCTATGATCACATATTATTCCCAGATTCCCTATTTAATTCCAGCAAATTACACAACTTTGAGAGAAGTTGATGAATAAAAACTTAGATTTATATTATTGCTTTGATCTAATGAATTCAAGGAGGAAAAACCCAGCCAAATGTATCATGGGTCTAGAGATACCAACATACATTCTGAGAGAAAAGGTTTGGGTTTTTTTAATGCTATACAGAATACGGGGAATAGCCTCTCACAGCAAGTTCCTTTTACTCAAAACCCTTTGAAAAAAATCAACGTTTTAATAGCCCACAGTAAAACCATTCAGTTACCTTACATTAGTAATTCAAACAGGAGAAGGCTAGCATCTTTATTAAAAGCAAACAAAAGCCAAGCAAAACCCAAAACATCCATCCAAAAGTATTTTGGTATTATCCAAGTTAACATCATAGACACAGCAAGATTAGCAATAACATGCACATAAATGTCAATACCATGCACATTCAAATAAAGAAGATATATGCTAATCAGTAGAGCCAGCACTTATGCAGGTTAAAGGAGAACTGAATGTAGTTCCTTTTCACCCTGAGAACATTAAAAAGTAACTTGAGGCATGTCTGTACAGTTGGGTGCACTCATCCAACAGATCTGTCCACTCATCCCAGATACTTTTTTTTTTGGTTTCCAATACAGAACTTATTTGTATCTTACAGTCACTTTGCCTGAACCGATACACCAAGAGCAGGACACACAGAATCACAGAATCATTTA